GTGTTTAAAAATATAAATAGGCTTGGGAGAAAAAAGAAAAAGGATAAAATCCTTTAAAAAAGGAAGAAAGGAAGAAAGAAAGAAAGAAAGAAAGGAAGGAAGGAAGGAAGAAAGACAAAGAAAGATGAAAGAGAGTAGTTGGGTGTGGTGGCATACAACTTAAATCTCAGCACTTGGAAGACAGAGGGAGGGGGATCTCTGTCAGTTCAAGAACAGCCTAGTCTACAGAGTGAGTTCCAGGATAGCCAAAAATACACAGAGAAACCCTGTCTCAAAAAAACAAAAATTAAAAATAAAAAATAAAAGAAACAGAGTTTAGAAATAAAGGCATGAAAAGATGGAAAATACACAGAAAGTCTGGATACTGTATGTTATTATGTTCTCTTTGAATTGTTTGATGGCTGGGGAAAGAACAACAGCTGCTAAAAGACATCTGATTATAAATGCTGCTGGATTAATACAACATATATATTTTGAAAATGTTTTGACTTCAAAATTTAAGTCAAAAGATATGTTACTTTGGAGAAGAGGATTTCCTTTTGTTCCCACTGGAAACGAGAGGCTGTGGATTCATTTATTCAGTCAGGACTTGACCATAATCCTAAATTTCCTTTAGGTCCGAATAAGATTATCAATGCTTCGAATCAGCAGGAAGTAGCTAGAAAACTATGCCCACATTCCCAAAAAATGAATTATGGATGTTTGTCTTTGTTTAGAGTGTTTTGGTTTCAAGTTGTTATGGATAATGATCAGAAAAAGTTAAACAAAGGAGATTAGATTCAGAGTTCTTGTTCTGAAAAAAAAAAAAGTGGGAGGGGGAGTTCTGTGGGACAATGATCTTGTACCCTGTTAAGATTTGTCACTTGTATTGGTTTAATAAAACACTGATTGGCCAGTAGCCAAGCAGAAAGTACAACCAGAGTAGGAGAATTCTGGGAAGAGGAAAGAATCAGTCTGTAGTTGTCACCCAGACACAGGACGCAAGATGAGACTGCTTCACTGATAAAACGTATCAAGCCACATGACTAGCACAGACAAGAATTATGGGTTAATGCAAGATGTAAGAATTAGTTAATAAATGGGAACTTTGGGAGAGGGTTGAAGGGGAGGGGAGAAGCACTGAGGGGAGCAGAGAAAAATGTAGAAATCAATAAAATCAATTAAAAAAGAATTAGTTATTAACTAATTTTTATTATTAATTTTTATTATTAACTTATTAAAAAAGCCTAAGGTAATAGGCCAACCAATTTATAATTAATGCAGGCCTCTGTGTGTTTCTTTGGGACTGAACAGCTGCAGGACCAGATGGGACAGAAACCTCTGTCAACAAAACTGAGCCATATCTCCAGTCATGCTACAGACTTTTTTAAAACAAATTTTGAAACAGCATCTCACTAGTTCAGGCTTGTTTCAAATGTGCTATATACCTTAGGCTGGCCTAAAACTCTCAGAGATCCTCCTGCCTCAGTTTCCCAAGTGATTACAGACAAGTGCCATTACAGTAATTTCATAGATTTTTATAACTAAAATATAGTAATAATGTTTTACTATCTAATTATGGGTAAGTGTGTACCTATGCATACACAAACATATACATAAATATGCATATACATATCAAAGCTCTTAATTTAGGAATAAGAAATTTTGAAAAACTTAAGATGCAGTTTAATACATAAGTACTATCTGTAATATTACATATGAGAGTAAGAGTGATTTAGCCTAGTTCACATAAAGGAGCCCTGTGATACCTTTAACACCATCAAATCATCAAAGCTACAGTCAATGATAAGGCGGAGGCTGCTGTGAACGACGTCTCTTCGAATGCGCTTCCTGTCACTTCCATCTGAGCCAGATTCCAGCTGACACTGCCGCTCTAGTTTCTTTCTCTTCCGCCTTTCCTTTCGTTTTTCCCTAAAATTTGTAAACAAAACATTTTGTTATTTGTGTATTTAGACATTCACAAGACTTCTAATTAAACAAAAGACTGATTATGTCTGTAAAGAGCCATGGTTGTAGGAAAGACCTCTTCTGTGGGTAGAAGAATCAGATAGCGGCTTTATTTTCTTTATTTACTGCCTGCAATAACTACACATGGAGGAAGTGACTTTGTAAAGACAATATAAAGCTTTCTCTAATGAATAACTCAATATATCATTCAACAGTTTCATTACTGGGACTATGCTATGCCTAAGAAAAACTTAAGAGTTAAAAAACAAAAAAATTAAAAACTTAAAGATTTATGAAGACTTTTACTTTTATAACTCATCCCCATTATCTTGTTCAATAATTGGGAATACTAAAAGAAAATTTCACTAACTTTACTAAATGAACAAAACTAAAAGTCTAACGTTTTTCTAGTCTCTTATAAGTTTTGGCATTAGACAATGGCCATAGCCTAGATGCTTTCATGCAAACCTGTTTTAGCCACATCTATGTCGGGCCAATGTTTGACCTTCCTGTGTTGTTGTTTTAACCCATATCTAGGACACTGATACGGGCTCCCTTGTCTCAGCTATTCCAACAGGTGTCCTGCTGTTCAGGCAGTTTAAGGAGAGACGCTGAGCCTGACATTATCAGTATTGCAAAAAATGAAGTCACAATTCAAAGCATGTGCAGTTTTAACAGCAACTCAGTGTTGGCTAATAGCGCGCATAACCTTAGTTTTTCATGGCTTCAGTTTTAATGAAGACAGCTACCGACAAGAGTGACACCCCGCTGCTGAATGAGATGCAGCCTGCTCGGAAGTACGCACTTGCGCAGTGCACTTGCGCAGTTCCCGCTGCTGAATGAGAAGCAGTCTGTTCAGAAGTACGTACTTGCGCAGTTCTCGCTGCTCTTCCCATTGCTTCTGCTTCATCAGCTTCTTCATCTGTCGTTTAGATATTGGCTCAGTCCCCGTGTCTAGTCTTGGCTTCTGCCCCTCCTCTTCGTTCACACCTAACTTTTTCTCCATGTTAGGAGTCTCGAGAACTGCTGGCAGCATTTCAGATGACATATTTGTTGTTTCTGAAAACTGGGAAAGCAACATTTTTTACATGAACAAATAATTTACAAACACAAAGCAAAATCACCCAAACGGCCAATAGATGCCAACAAATGTCGAACTCTATCAGTAATAAAAAAAAAATAACAATTTAAATAGCAAAATTCCATTCACTGGCAAGGATCTTTTACTACGTTAAACATGAGTTAAATGCCATTTGTTGGCAGTACTGGCAGCGGGCTGAAGAAGTGGTGTTTACTACTGAGGTCAGCATATGGTCTTTCCAGAGGGCAGGTTAGGTTTTCAGAGCTGTAATCCACCGATACTGTCCTAGCTAGCTTCAGCTGTCAAGCTGACATAGCCCAGGGTTATGGGAGGAAGGACCAATGGGGAGACTGCCCAGATGACAACTGTCTGTGGCCAGATATGTGAGAAATTGTCTTACTGTTTATTGATGGGGGAGGGGCCAGCCCACTGTGGGGAGCCCCATCCCTAAGCTTGGTCCTGGCCACATAAAAAAGCTAACTAAGCATGAGCAATGGAGTCAGGCGGCATGCAGCATACTCTGGTTTCTGCTGGAGATTCTGCCATGACTTCCCACAATGATGAACTATGATCTACAGTAAGCCAGAGACACCCTTCTCACATTCTTTGAAAGTACGGTGGGACATTAGTTGAGATTTAGCTGATTCTTATTTCATACTGACAGGAAAAATGAGTAGATATGGAAATGAAAGTATTATCAAACAGTTCCTGTGTTTGATAGTGTATCTATCGCCTAACTTAATACTCAACCTCATGAGAGCTGACTGTAATTACATTTACTTTAAAAATAAGCCATCATGAGATGATTTATTCGGAATTGAAAAGGTATTAAATCATTCCTATGAAACAAGTCATCATAAACAAATCTAGCATACAGAATATACTCAAAATACTTGGTTGATTAGAGCGACAAATGAGCCTGACAGTGGTGGCGCACACCTTTAATCCCAGCACTCAGGAAGCAGAGGCAGGCAGATCTCTGTGAGTTCGAGACCAGCCTGGTCTATAAAGCGAGTTCTAGGATAGCCAGGGCTACACAGAGAAACTGTCTCAGAAAAGCAAAGAGAGGAAGAGAGAGAGAGAGGGAGGGAGGGAGGGAAGCAGGCTGTGGAATGATGTCCACCAGGAATGACATCACTGATGCTCTTGAATCACAGTCGATGTGAGATCTGCACAACACTGGGTCATCAGTACTCTTACATGGAGTGGGAGGAAGGCCCCAGCCCTCTCAGAGATCTCTACCCAGTTAACAGTTGGCAGGAGGAGGGCAACATGAGACCCTACAACTATCTGCAGTTAATGGTTGCCGAGGGGAAAAGGGAGAGAGACTTTCTTTAGTGGTGTTACAGAATTAGTACAAAGATGCCCATGTTTCTGGACATACCATGCTACTGAAAGGAACCCTAGTTAAACACGAGAGAGAGAGGGGGGGGCCTTATGACTCAAACCCAGCACTTTCCAGTAACTTAAAACCTTGGGGGTGGGGGTTCTGAGGGGACCATGCTGACTGCACGCTGTTGACAGATGGTGCTGAAGCTATTGAACTCAAAAATGTACAGGAAGAAGGAAAAAGCAAGACTCATTAAACATGCAAACTTAAAAGCAAAACTAGGACAGACACCAAAGCTACACAGAGAAACCCTGTCTCGAAAAAAAAAGCAAAACTAAAATTCACAGGAAAACATTTTATGAAACAAATGTCTAATTTCTGTTTATCCATGGCAATATTTTTCAGTAGTTCTCTCTCTATGTTGTTCAGAAACCTGAAGTGCTGAGCTATACTGAGAAAAAGGCATGTTTTCTCACTCCCCGACACCAGGGGGCGCCTTTGTCTTTCACATCTAAAATGTCTCAAGTTAAATTTAATTTGACCTATCACAGAATGGTGACGTTTTTTGAACAGCCTATCGAAAAATAAAGAAACATGAACTAGTCCTAACTAATATTAATTGATTTTAGCGATTCTCGAAACGTTGTGCTGGGTGAGTTTCCTGAGCCAGACGCACTGAAACACATATTCGTGAAACACAAATAAAACACTAGCCGGCTATCTTATTTCGGCTAGACTTTACCAAGATAGCTTCCGCTCCGACTGTCTACCACACAATAAACACATTGTGTACGAATCTGCTGCAATTATCTGTTATGCAAAACATGACATTTTTGAGCATACTTTGTTTCAGTTGGGGTTATGACGTAAGTCTCTATGGCAGAGCCTGGGAATCCTCCTTGACCAGCAGTGATGCTCACGGTACATTTTCATCCACAAAGACAAGTTAATCAAGTATTTAAGAACATTTTAGAGGAACTATAGAAGCAAAGTGTGAAATTTTAATGAAGCACAATTTTTTTTAAAAAAAAATGGATGGCTAATTCATGGATATTGGTTATAGATGGGATTATAAAATTTAGAACTGAACGATGACTAAGGGTATTTGGTATGAGGAAAGCATTCATCATCGCTAAAACAAAACCCTCGTAGCTTTTAAGTTTTGTTTTCGGGAACTGCCAAGTTGCAATACCGGCAGAATGGAATCAACGACCTGCCGGTAACAGGTTTTATTCTGTTTTGTTTTTTAACATGTTGGTCAGTTTCGCAGTAAAAACAGCCCTTTGTTCAGTTGTCAAATCCCTTTGCCAGAGGTTGGCTTGGGAGGAAATCTTAAAAGACAGTTTTGTTTCGTTATTTTAAGTGATAATCTCCTACTAGTCTCTTTACAGCTCTGCACAAATAGCCACATTTCAAACACGAAGTATTTCAGTGACATCAGGCAACTCGTGGATCTTAATCTCATCCTCGGCTCACCACGAGGCTCGGCCGCATCTGCAGCAACCGGCCCTCGGCTCCCTACATCCGACCGCCGGGCGCATAGGGCGCAGGGGAGAGGAAAGAGGAGCGGCAGGGACGGCACCTGGCCCGCTCTCTAACGACAAAGCAGCGCGGCGACAGGCGGCCCGCAGACGCCACATTTCCTTTCCTGTCTCACTTCCGGCGCGGACCCCCACGAACAACAGACACCCAGATACTCCCGGGCCCAGGGCGCGCGCAGACACAGGCCCGCGTGCGCGCCCCCGGAGGGCCGTGAGCGCGCGGACGCACGCAGCCGACCAATCATGAAGGCCGCGGGGGGACCGGCGTGAGACGCGCCACCTGACGTCACTTCCTCGGAGCAGGCAACTACTTCCCAGGCTCCTGCCCTCTCCCCCGGAAGCCGTGACTGCAGCGGAGGGCAGCGTGGTTCGCGTTCCTTTGGCATCCGAAAGGCTACCAAAGAGCAGCCGCGCCACAGCCGCAGCGCCATAATTACCAAGCCGCGGGGCCGCTGGGAAACGCCACGGTGCGGTCAAACAGCCTTTCTGAAGTGCCCGCTGCTCCACGCCGCAGTCCTCCTCCAGAAACTTCAACTCCCAGAGGCGGTGGCTGCACGCCTGGTTACGCACTTACGCGTTACGTCATCGGCCTGCGCCAATTACATACTTAAGTTGGGGAAGGGGCGGTGCTTCTAGAGGGCGGGGTCAAGGCCTGGGTTTTGTTGAATAGCGTGTAGCCAGAACGAGGTGTTTTTCTGTTGGCAGGCGCTGTATTGGTACTCGTTCGCGTTTTGTTCTTGTAGAAGCTCGGGTCGCGAGAGGAGGAAAGCCCCACTTTTAAAAATTAAAATACGAAGCAGACGAAATTTTTTTTTTTTGGTGTTGAGAAGATGATCTATTGCCCAAATAATTTCTAATTTATGTAAGAAGCAGTTGCCAGTATCACATAAGTTTTCCTAACTGGAAAAAAATTGAAAGAGAAGTTCTTAGTAAAAAAGCATTCAAATTGGAAATTTTAAGGGTTTTTTTTTATCCTTATTAAAAACAAACACATTACACTCCATTCTTTGAGGTTTTCCTATGCTATTTTGTGAAACACTAGTGATATTTCATCGTTTGTAACATTTGACCTTATATAATCTTTTTGCTAAATATAGACCAAGTCAACCAAGAAGAAAAAGCAGTTATGCAGATTGACCCCCGTTTTAAAAAAAAAAAAATTGGCCTTTTTGATTGATGCCTATGGTAGAATTTGGAGATAAAAACAATTTTCAAACTTAAGTAGACTGCCCTTTCAATATTGAAAGAACGATGATGTACGTTATTCTTGATCCTTGCCCTTTGAACATGGTTACATGCTCTTAGATAAAACTGAAATGTCTCTGAATTTAGTGACAAAAGTGAAGCCTTTCTTTAAAATCTCGAGTTTTATTTGGGATGTGAGCCAGGATTCTGGGTTGGATCTCTCAAATCTAAAAGATTTCTGTTAACTGACCATGGCATGAAATCTGGATCCGTTTGTGATCTGTTAGTAGGACATCTTTTTTCAGCTGCCTCCATATCAGGGCAGGGAGTAGCTGAGGAAGGATTAGTAATTGGATATGGAGCCCTTCACATGTAGGTCGTTAGATTCAGGCTGGCATCGCAGTGTGCCAAATCTTTGAGCAGCTGTTCAGTTGCCCCCGTGGGATCTGTTTTATAAATAATGATACATTTTTAGAGGTAATGCCTAGCATCCTGGGTATTTAAAAACATCTTTAAGTTAGGAGGAAAATCCTCAGTTTAATGATGTTAGCAAAATTTGACTTAGTTATTTGATTGTGTAGTTGCAGAATCAATCTGAAGTATGTAAAAAAAAAAGTACCAGCAAAAACTGCAGAAACACAGAAGCATATAAAAAGTGTAAGGTAAGGTCATGTGATATGAAGCAGTCATTGATTTATAAGACTCATGTTTATTTAACAGCCATAGAGTTTGTCTTAGGATTTTCTACAATGACTAAATGTTATTTTTGTCCTAAAGGCTCCATAAGTGAGTGTATACTTAAGATGCTTATAGATATAAAAGAATAAGTGAATGTTTCATGAGCACATAGTTTCAGAGATCTTGTGATTTTGCTCCATCTTGAAAAATAAGCAGTTTCCAAATGTAAAGAAAGAAAAAGAATTTGCAACCCTGGGATCAGTGAAAGCAAAGACCAAAATGTGATTGTTTCATCCAATGGCTGAAATAACAGTGGGTAGAACAAGGAAGGAAGGAGAAAGAATAGCTCTAAAGACGTTTCTTCTTAAATTAGAAAACAACCTTCCTCAAGACCCAGCAATACCACTTTTGGGTATATATCCAAAGAATGCGCAATTGTGTTACAAGGACATGTGCTCAACTATGTTTATAGCAGCTTTGTTTGTCATAGCCAGAACCTGGAAACAACCTAAATGCTCCTCAACCTAAGAATGGATAAGGAAAATTTACACATGGAGTACTACACAGCAGAAAAAAAATAACGACATCTTGAATTTTGCAGGCAAATTGATGGAGTTAGAAAACATTATTTTGAGTGAGGTAACCCAGACCCAGAAAGACAATTATCACATGTACTCACTCATAAGTGATTTTTAAACATAAAGCAAAGAAAGTCAGCCCACAAATCACCATCCCAGAGAACTTAGACAACAATGAAGACACTAAGAGAGACTTACATAGATCTAATTTGCATGGGAAGTAGAAAAAGACAAGATCTCTTGAGTAAATTGGGAGCATGGGGACCTTGGGAGAGGGTTGAAGGGGAGGGGAGAGGCAGGGAGGGGAGCAGAGAAAAGTGTAGAGCTCAATAAATATCAATAAAATTAAAAAAAATAAGAGGTTTCTTCTTTGAACAATGGTAGAAATACAATTCCATTGACTGGGCCATGTAGAGAGCACTAGAAGGAAAATTAGCAAAAATTAGCAAGTTTGGATTTGAATATGTGTGGAATCTGAGGGATCTGCAGGCTTCTAAATAGAGACAGACTTAAAACCCAACATATGTGCTTGTACTTTGAGCCAATGAAAGAGGTTTCTGTGGGTCACAGGTCAGTTGTATCTGTGGATTCAGGAATGTAACCAAGGAGAGATGTTACCTGCAGGGAAGCCTGAGAGGGCGTCTCCTTTTTAGTCAGAGTACAAGCTCCAAGTGGCAGCGTGGCCCCAATGATAGCAAACTTTAAGTTTTGAAAGAGAAGCCAGAAGTTGAATTTGTATGAAATCTGGTTTCTAGGTATTGACATTGCTTTGCTTTTTAAAATATTGAGAGGCCATTATAGAAAATAGTACAAAGGTTTCTAGAGAAGTTGAAAATAAAACCACATACACAAATCTAAGAAAATGATATCACTGCCTGGTAGATATCTGCTCTACTACGTTCATTGTAGCATGCCTCGTCACCAAGATGGGGAATCTAGTATCTGTCTGTGTCAGCAAATGAATGGATTAAGAAACTACTAAATATGTACAACGAGCTGTTAGTCGTGAAAAACGAGACCTTGCTCTCTGCCCAAGTATGAATGAGCTTAGAAGACACTGCTGTGAAATAAGCTAACGTTCTTTGTGTTCTCACTTATGTGTGGAAAATACTATTCAAGTATGCAGAAACGGAATAAAGCAGCAGTTATGAGGAAGGGGACACGCAGGGGAGGGGAGGAAGATGTGGGTCGAAGTAACGTGTCTGAGATAAACAAGTTGAGAGTGAATGCAAAACCTGAGGACTGTAGGCCACAGAGTTGTTCTGCTGATGTTCTCATACTAATGAAGTGGTTCTAACCACTCTCTTTGCAAAGGAAGCAGACAAGTTGGTTGACTGAAATGATGGATATGTTAATTTGCTTCACCATAGCAACCTCTTTACTATTCATATCTAGCCCATAGCATTGTGTTGTATGCCTTGCAATGACATTTATGGAGAAAATAGAGTTTATGTGATTTAACTACAAATAAATATTGAGTAGCCTAAATAAATCATATCTGTGTACCGATTTCAGACAATTGGCAGCCAGTTTAAGTTGGAGCCCAGATTGTAAAGTAAGACGAAAGCTCCAGATAGAGCTGAGTTTTAGGACACAAAACATGGTAATAAATGCAATTGTGAGCTTCTCCATATGTTTGGCCACATTGGACAGTCACTAAAAACTCCAGTTTTGTCAATCTAGTTATGACTTTAAGTCTGAGTACTCTTCACAAGTTGGGAATGGTAGGTGGGGTTCAGAGTAACACTTGTGACTACTTTAATTTTAGACTAGAGAGTCCAAATGGAATCAAATCTAAAGCATGACCTGAAAATTATCTAAAAAGAAGAAACAACTTCTCAACTATATTATTTCAGCTGGCATTTTGGTTGACTTAGAAAATACAGAAAATTTTAGAAGATATCTTAAAGCACCTTGTAATTCATGAATATTGAAGATGCTAGGAAAGCGCCTTAGGGAGGAACGTCTGTGAACCCCCTGAATGTCCACGCAGAAACAAGTGGAGCAGCCAGTGTGGCCAACGCCTCGGACTGCTGTAACTAGGCACAAAAGAACCCGAGAGCCCCAACAACAGGAGGGCCACTGCCGAGCATTTGCTGCAGTGTAAGGATGCTTCGTGACACCAACAGGAAATGTGGCAGGTGGTCTAGCCGACTCCAGTCCAGGGTGAGTGTAGAAGACTGAGCAGGAAGCTCTGAAGTTGCCACTGTGGAATTTGTAAAACCTGTGTATGGGGTCACCGCTTTGGGGCTAAGCCCAGCACTTTGGAGAAACTGCTTGGGTCTAAATTGAACAGGACCAGACGACAGGAAGAGAAAAAAGCAAGTCCAGATGCAAGTGAAGGAAGAGCAGAGATGAAGGTCATGACACAGGTCCTTGTGTGCCATTTTACCAAAGTGACAGAAAGGTGTTTATAGTTGTGAGAATAGAAAAGCAGTTTTACCCTCTCCTTAAAAGTACAGATAATGCCCAGATAATCAAGTAAGTGGATGGTAACTTGACTCCTGAAAGTTGTCTTCTGACCTCCACACAAGCTCCATGGCCTAGGCACACTCACAGTAAATGTTTTTAAGAATACCGCACCGGATTATGGTTGGATTCCAGTTAAAGGTGCAGAAATACAAAATTAACAATGAGGCAGATAGAGGCAAGAGACAACTATAACCGGTATTTCACACTAAACATGGAGATATTTTTAAGTGGTAAAATATGAACAAAACAAACAACAAAAAAGAAAGTAATAATTGAGAAAAGTAAGTATTAAAAAGTGCTTGTATGCAGAAGACATGTCCAAAGATCTAGCCAGTGAAATAAACAGGGAAAGAAAAAAGGAAAATTCAGATGACATGTTTGTCTCTCTATATAAACAACTAAAGGTTTCCTAAATCTTCATTTCGCTAATTCACAAGAATTAGCAGAGTAGAATTTTAGGACAAAAAGTTAACACACAAAATCCAGTTGGTCTGTGTGCTGGCAATGTACGGTCTGATCTTGAAATTAAAATGCTTACCCCGCCTGTGACTTAGCTAGAAAGCTAATAGATTTGTAAAGAGCCTAAAGGAGAAATCTGAAAGGCTGGTGGGAAACCCAGGATCTAAGTAAATTCAGAGATGTTCTCGGGTACTAGAAATTCAAAACCTTAAGAACATGGGTACCTGCTATCCATACTTAGGTTTTTATGATTTTCATATATAAAAGAAACCAGAAAGCACTGGGAAAATACCTGACTCTAGGAATTGTAGGAAAGCACAGAGGGTGAGCCAGTAGTCTGTGAACACTGAAAACTCAAACACCGGCCAATGTGGGGGTAGACTGCTGTAACACAACAGCAAAAACCGAAAGGACTCGTGAGTGTGTGTATGGGGGGAGGGTATGTGTGAGTATTCACTTGTATATGTGGGTGTGGATGTTTGTGAGTTCACAAGCACACTTTGTCTGTGTGTGTGTGTGTGTGAGTCAGAGGTCAACACTAGGTATGTTCCTCGATGGCTCACCACCTTACTTTTTTGAGGCGGAGTCTCTCACTGAATCTGGAGAGCAGCTATTGACTAGACGGGTTGGCCAGCAGGTCCGCAGGATCCTCCCTCCTCTCCCTTCCCATACTGGTTTGCAGCTGAGCACAGCCATGCCTGACCTTTTACGTGGGTACTGGGGATGTGAATTCAGGTTTTCATGCATTAGAGACTAAGCCGTCTCCC